TTAGCGGCATTCTGTGTCCTATGTTTTACAAATTTATCATGTCCCGTGTCCGTGATACCTAGGTGAAGATATTCAATCGACACATCCGTTAGCGGCATTCTGTGTCCTATGTTTTACAAATTTATCATGTCCCGTGTCCGTGATACCTAGGTGAAGATATTCAATCGACACATCCGGGCCCTAAATCTTACATCGAAGCAGTCTACTTGAGCTACCTGCATGTAGTGGGACTGGTATCTAGCAACATCTCCGCATTAGCCAGTGAGGCGCAACAAGACCCTTTGAAATGCTTTTCTTCCGTGTTAGAAGTGCTTTTCATTATTTTCCTTTCAAGCACAAATTAGTTATCCCTAGTTCTTATTATTTGCAAATTCACTCCAAATTATTATTATTTGCAAATTTGCCCCTTCATCCTAACCATGTCATCTCCATCATTCTCTTCATCGGCCATGTTCACCTCCTCTCCCTCACACTCATCACTACCTTCTCCGCCCCTCCCGCCTTTACTACCCCGTCCTCTACTAGTAAGCGTCGCACACATTTAATTTCATCTGCTGTCAAACACGACTACTTGGTAAAGAACTATCTTCTATTCTCTAGTTGCCTCACCGTTCCCCGCGTCATGGACCTCATCTATGATCACAAGTCTTACATAAAACCTACAGTATAAACTGAAGTATTAAATTTAGACAAGATATATAATTCAATCAGTGCACTGGAAATGTAAAAATTCTAATAGCAAAAACAAAATCACATGCAATTCCAATCTTCAAAACTCCACATTTATTTCGCTTAAAACCCTAAACAAGATTTGTGAATGACAATCTAACTCCAAGAGTTACAGATGTATAACAAATATGAATAAATTAAGTAAACTGCATAAACAACAGATCTCGATAGAGAATAACTGGATCTGTCCAAAATAGAAGACATAATGTTAATAAACCTAAATGAAAATCAATGAACCAACGGATCTAAATGCGAAACAATAAAATTTCACCAAATAAAACCCTAGATTGAGAATCAAATCCAAGGGAGATTGCTATAGATTAATTTTGGGAACAAAACATCAGTTCTACACCAAATATGACAATTTTTCTTTAGCAGAAAGCAACAGGTCTAGATAAGGAATAGCTGAATCTGACAATCTTAAAAGGCCTAACTTAACAAAATTCAATAAAAATCAAAGAAACAGCAGATATCAACATTGTACAACAAAATCTAACTAAAAAACCCCATATTTCCTCAATTTTGACGGGAAAAGAAACCCTAGATTGAGAAGCAAATGGAGACTGCGAGAGATCTAGTGATCTGAGAGTTACCTGATTCAAATAGTAGATATTGATGGATCTAGAGATCTGCGAGTGAGTGAACGAAAGAAAAATGCGACTCTTTTGATGATAAAAGTTAAAAAGGGCGAGTGGAGATGAGACAGAGGGAGGTAGTCGGTTTTGATGCGTGCAAATGCACTAGGTGTGTGATGATGAGTGCATTTAGATTCAGTCAACTTGATTTTAATCAGAGTCGTTCATCTAGTAGCTTAGGGACCATGAGTGGAAATGTTGGAAGTTAAGAAGTACGTCTCTTACTAGAAAAGGGTAGCTATTCTCATGATATGATGTTTTCCTCATGTTTAGATGTCTGGATTGCAAAAAAAAAATGAAAGGAAGGAGGAAAACGTGTGCTGACTCAATTTAAACGGAAACCACGCTTCTCTAAAAAGCTGAAATGGGCAAAAAAACCCATTAAAAATCGATTAACTAATAGACACCTTAAATTTTGGGGTTTCTCGCACCCTCTCCCTCTCATTTCACCCTAGGGTTACAATCGCCACTATTTCCTTCTCATTTCACCTTTCCCTCCAATTTCTCCCGCCTCCATTGCTCTCTCTCAAAAGTGTAAATCCTAGAAAAATTTTGGGGTAAGTCTTGGCCTGAAACAACCCCCCCCAATTTGTAGCTAGTCGATGTCGAAGCCCTAATTGCTGGTTGAGGTCTTGGCCTAAAAAAATCTCATGAAATTTGCTGGGCGGATGGTGGCGCTAACCTATGGATGAAAATAGCTTCAAATAAGGGGTAAACCCTATAAATTGAAACTGAGAATTCGCAAAAAGCGGCGAGAATGCGCGATAATATGGTGAAAATACTTCTACGTTGATGTCTGCCTCCACGAGCGGAGAGAGCAGAAGATTGAAAGTCATGTGATGATCTCAATTTTTGATAGTGAGTTTGGGTTTTAAAATTGTAGTTGATTGATTTTAGGCTAAATATCATGAAACCCCCTTTTAACTTTGAATGATTATCTTTAACCCCCTTTACTTTTAAAATATCAGAAAATCTCCCTTAAGTTTAAAGGCTATCAGAAAAGCCCCTCCAACATTGACATTTCATCAGAAAACGCTCCTAAATTAAGAGAATTTGATAAAATCTCAAAGTCGAAAGGATTTTTTGATAAAATCTAAAAGTTAAACTAGGGTTTTTGATAATCGATGTACTTAAAGGGGTGTTTTTTGATATTTTGGAAGTTTGGGGGGTGTTCTGATAAATCATCCAAAGTCATGGGGGTTTTCCGATATTTACTCTTAATTTTCCTGATTTGATAGAGTAAAGTAGGGATATACTTTAAGATCATTTGAGAGGCAAATTTAGGAACACCTACAATTTGAGGGGTATATATATTAAAAAAAACCCTTATGAAATTTATTAAAGACAGTAACAATAAAGATATTTAATTTTATATATTGCTATTAGTCCCCCAATTTTGCTGTTTTTCATAATAATCCCTCAAACATGTCATATATTGATACTAGTCCCCCAATTAATAAATCTTTAAAAATTAATCTTTCAAATCTTTAAACATTTTGGAATTACTCGCTCAAATGTTCATATTTGGAATTAGTCCCTCTAATCTTTAAGCATTTTTGAAATTACTCAAATAGCCGTTAGGTTTACCATTGCAAGCAATTTTTATATGATGGTGAGTCTGTTTACAACTTAATCATATTGGTAGAATTTTTGTCTCATTTGAGTGGTAAGCACACCATGGTAAGCACAACATTGGTTTCCTTTTTTAATTTGAACCAAACTAAAGAAAATGAGGGAATCTATTCACATATCAATGGCTTTTTTTTCTTCAAGTTGAACCAAACTAGGTAACGTGGTTGAAATTACTTATACCCCATGTTTTTTGGCGAAACAAACATAAGAAATGATTTTTCATGGAAGTGAAGAAAACATAAAAAAGTGAAGGAAACATGTTTCCTTGAAATTATAGAAAACAACGAAACACACCCTATAAGTTACCTTTTAGAAAAATTCCAAGCATGTTTGAAAATTATACACGGTTTTCTATGATTTCCAACTTCAATGAATTTGGAAAGAGGTTTAATAATAAACTTTTTGATAGCTAACTAACTCCACTATCTCTTCATAACTAACAAGTTATTCATACTGAATAACTACTCTATTTTTGAAAAACCATACATTTATATTATTTTGTGGCTTTATTTTTAATACATGTATTAATATTAATCTTCAAGATGTTAAACAATTTATTTATTACACACAATGGTATATTATATCATGCACGCATCTTGTGGATTAGAGGACTAGTGTAACTTAAAAATTTATGTACTTCTTTTATTTATTTCACATATTTTCTGGGTTTGTTTGGCAAACTCTCTTAAAACTAGGTCATGACTGAACCTGGCCCAGTTTTGAATTTATTTTTTATTAGTAAAAACTAGGTTAGTTCTGGCTCGGTTCTTCTTAGACAAAAAAGAAGGTATAAAGCCAGTTTAATGTTGGACCATCACCCCTTGGTCCAATTGTATATTGGTGAGCAGAACTGCGCTAGGATTGAACTTGGCCAAGTTCAGTCCTAAAAAAAATTCTTAAAGAGAGATCATTAAGAATATCATTAAAAAAATAGTACTTTATTTTTATTTATTTTTATCTCGATAGCAAATGAAAATATCTTTAAA